AAATAATGCAGATTATGAATATGGAAGACAAAACAAATCCATTTTAGTCCGGGAACGTATAACAGAAGCTAAATATCGCAAGCGATCTATGTGGATTATGATGTAATTTTTTAAAAGAATTTCTGTGTGTAATCAAATGCTCATGCATATATGTATACATACAAGGATACTCATTTTGTAATATTTGGAAAATAGTCCGGGAGATGATGTTAGAAAATCATCAACGAGTTATTTTATACTAGTATTAAAGTATAGTTATTTTATGCTTTTTTATGGCACATATTAACATAAAACATTAAATAATTCGTAAAACTATTAATAGTATTAATTTTTTAATGTTTTTAATGTTTTTAACTACCGAATCGTATTTTGTAAAAACATATAATTACGTTTGAAAAAGTGTTAGTGACTTTCATACTTACATTTGTGTGTGTGGGCTACCACCTGAAAGGAAAAAACAACATACTTGAAATACGTCCCCTACAAAATCGTTCTTTTCAAATAAAATATTTCTTAGTATCATCCAAAATATGAAACATATTCAAGGTTTGCAATTTAAATGGACCACCTAGTCCTAGTGCATACAAAAATAATTAACTTCAACTGTGTGAAATAATTGCATATTTTAAACAAATCGCAAATTATAGTTTAAATCGAATTTTACTCTACAAATATATTTTACTTTACACATCTCGTACTTTTCTCGTACTTTTATTGTTTCATTCATTATAACAATTACGATTTTTTACAGGCATGTCCACCTACAACTATGTCTTATAGCACGCAAACTGAACAATGTACTCAATATACAAATGTTACTACAAATGTTATGGTACTTTATAGATGCTGTGGTAGTCGGCATCAACATAACTGTTATACTTACAGAAGACAAGAAACTACTGTGGACATTGGAAATTAGTTTAAATTTTTTAGTACTCGGTTTCAATTTCATTCTGCATAGCGTATTATTTATTACATTAAATTACGTATGTCAAACTATTTACTATAAGGTATAGTAGAATTAAAACATTTCTAATTGTTTATGACTAAAATAATATAAGTAAAACAACAATTTTACAAGGAGGTAGTTACATAGGTCAAATTTTTTTTTCCAAATGACGTAATATTATTCACTGGATGTAAAATTTCCAAATTTTACTACAGACTTTCTTATTGTATAAAACAATTTTAGATAAACGAGACAGCAGTAATTCTTTACAAAATATCCAATAACAATCTCGATGAAGAAGAACGTGAACAGGTAAATTATTACAACAAAATTTTAATAAAATTTTAACTATTCTATGTATGTAAATTTGTTAGCGCACAGAAGAAGGACACCTTCATCAATTATAACATATAATTATACAAAAAATTGGAAAATTATAAATCATCAATTTTGTATTATACTCTTATATATTTGGATACTTGGCACACTATGTACTAGTATTACGATGTGTATATAAGAATAATATAAAGGTTAGAAATATTTTATAAATAATTTTTTATTTTATATGCCAAAAACGAATATTTAAAATTTATTTATTACATTAATGTCCTACAAAAAAACCTTAAGCATTTCGGCTTATAAAATTAAAAATATTTTGTAAAACTTTTGTGATTAGTATTATTATATGTACGTTCAAATACCTTTAATTTTATAAAATGACATGCAGTTAAATTCATAATGTTGATGTTATGTCCAATTTGGTATGTCAATGTAGAATTTAAAGGGTATTTTGACTCAAATTTAGTTTACTAGGTGTATAATAATATGTACACGCTGTTTACTTTGAAACTTAAAGAACAGCATGATTTTTTCACATTGAATTTAAAAATAACAAAATGTTAATAAATATATAGGATTGAAGATTGTTTATTTGGTACATAATCAATTGATGGTTTATAAAATAATGTCTTATTAATTTATACAAATCCATTTAATAGTATTTATGAGAGTGTCCAAACTGTCACAAATGACAGTGCATAATTAACATTTGTTAATTATATGTATTTCAATTAGATTTTTCAATTTATATTACAAATAAAACAAAGAGAGGTAAAATTTGGCATGGGATATTTCCACTTTGGATATAATTTTGTTCGTCAGGTATGTCCTACATTGAATAAAAGTATATTAGTGTTATATTACGTCCAAGCCTCAGGATTCCTTATTTCGTGGGAAATGTATGAGTTGAAGGCCTCAGAAGAAGATAACCGACATCACTCTCTCGGGGTTATTGCACTTATCTTTTAAGGGCTCGGTACAACAATAATATACACAAATAGAGTACACAAATATAGAACAAACACGTCGATCTTACATAAATTATACATATAAATATCTAAATAACATCAAAATTTTTTTTATAATTGCAGATTTAATGATTTACGTATATTTTATTTTCATTTTATATATTCAATATCTTCTCTGACATTAACTGTTTTCATTTTAACACAAATATTTTCATTAACTGTAATAAAAACATACTTTTTTCAGTTGTACGCTGCAGTTTTGTCCTGCCTGATAATATTAATACAGGTATATGGTCCATAACAGACCTTCTATACTCTTTAATGCATGACAAAAATGGTTTGATTATTATAGTTTGATATAGTTTGTCAACGTATATAGTTAAATGCATTTTGGTTAAACTAAATAGAATTTCTGGTTATTATATGACAAATTTGAGATTTTACAACCATAACGATTGGTGCCAGATTATATTATAAGTGTTATATTATAATATATTGTACTATATTATTAAAATTTGTTTCATTTTTTTCAGATGGATATAATCGATTATTTTGTTATAAATGATTAATTTTGAATGTTGATTAACGTTAAACTTACAAAGGAACACAACCAACTGCAGGATCTCTCCGATTTAAATGAGCTTTTAGTATGTCGTCATAGACAAATAAAAGTGTCTTTTTTTATACGTGTTCGTACGTTGAGGGGGTGAAATCCTCCCTTGAAAAAAATCGGATTTTTGATCCTTTCAAAGTTAATATCTTCGAAACTTTAAAAAATGGAAAAAAATTTCTACAATAAAAATTGAATAGCTGCAACAGTACTTTATAACTATAATAAAGTCTTTTATAATTATTTATTTATTGTATATCCCTATCTTTCACCCTTATTTTCAAAAATTATTTAATTTTTCATATGACGAAAATTAAAGAGCATTTTACGCTGAAAACAACGGTGTGTATTTAAATCACATTCCGAAAAATTATATAAAATTATTTATTCGTTGCATTTTTAATGTTCTCCGATAAAAACAATTTATTACACGATTTTTGCTTTATTTCTTACATTCGTTACGCATGCAACTCATCTATATATGTATATCTTAAATATTTCAATTTTGTGTTAATATATTATGCGATTACTAGTTTGTAATAATTTTATATTACAACGAAATCCGCGTAATATACACAATTTTTTTTATATTATTTCTTTTACCGCGCATATTCGCCAAATTAATCGACGGTTAAATGTATCGACATCTATTGTAGGTATAATGGGTAAGGTAGGAAGTGATAACTATGTGGTAAGATGTTTTCTTTAACTTCCTCGCAGGTCATACTTTTCTAGTAACAGGAGTAATGTTTCGAGATCCCGGGATCCTGGCGTGACACGTTCGACGACATGACACGTTCGACAGTTTTCGCGCTACCACCTTCCTCTTTCAAAATATACTTTCCTAATAATTTCGATTTCTCCGAGTTTTATGAGTCGTGTCTTTCGCTTGGGATTCGTATTCTCGAAAAATATCGCACACGAAATGTATACAAAAATAATATACGTTATATGTGTTTATATGTGGTCACACATATATGATAGATTTTTTTAGTATTTTGTATATATTTTTTAAGAAATAGGGGCTTAGTCTTGTCTAACAACTTTTTTTATTACAAAATTAATAATAAATCGGGCTGGAACTTTTGCACTGGTCTAACATTTTCATTTGTGTATCTTAATTTATCATTTATTCAGCATGTTTTGAAGGATTTTGGATGACGTTTATTTTTTTACGCTTATCGATTTATATTTACTGACTTGTTTCTAAATTCGCATAAAAAACATTTAGTTTGAATAGCCTTAATATTATATTATTTAAATTTTTGAACTCTCTCTTATTTTTATTTACACTTGATTTAATACTTTTTATGAAATGATGTAATGAATTTTGTGTTTGTATTTATCATTTATTATTAGCATATATAATATTTCTCGTCGTATGGTGTAAAACGAACGAGTATAAACAACAATAAACGAGTATAAACGAACAGTATAGTAAATATGCTTATTGTAGATAAGCAATAGTTTTTTCTATCGCTTAAATACACATATTTAATACAATTTTTCTGGATATCACAATAAAGAAAATATGCGGGAATAATAAAAATACGTTTATTTTTTTTTTCATTACAAACTTTCCAATTAATGTTACTAGTATAATTTTATTAAAGATAAAAAATTGAGTATTTTTTTGCATGATGAATACTTTATTAAATTTATGCAGAGGTAGAGGAAACGAGTAGCGAATAAATAAACAAAATTTGTTTTCTTATAATATAAATTGTACCTATAAGGTATTATTATCTAGTCAACATTAACATTTAGTCATGAAATATAAGCATACGTTAGCATAAATTACTAAGCATACTATTGTATAACTTTTACAATATAATCATATAAGACGTTCACATCGTTGTATGTTACTTGCACATATTTTACATTTGCGATATCTTCTTATTATTACATTAGGTACATACATATGTATATTAATTTTCCTGTTCTAAAACTTTTATCTAAACTCTTTGTCACATTAAAAAAAAATTAACATTCTTCTAAACTTGTTTTTTAATTCTCTTTTCTGAATTTCACATATACTTTTTAATATTATTAAAATATATCAAATAAATTATTATTATATAAAATTAATTACTTTATCTGATTATAATAATTCTACTTTTCTTTGCATTCTGTCTTGCATATGATGTAAATTCCCTGTGGTATATTATGTTACATTATTATTATAAGATACAAATTATTAAAGCTGGTACATACTTATTGAACTTACACATCTTAAAACTCGCTTGCTTGTGGCAGTTCTATGCAAACTTTCTTTTATCGGCACTATATATATGCATATTTCTTCAAAATATAAATTTAGTGAAGTCACTTTATAGTTACATTTAAAAAATTAAATTTTAAATTAGTCTAAAATTATTCCTTTGTATTAAAGATCTATGAGATTAACTTCCCTCGTTATTGTATTTAATGTAGGCGCGACCGACGTTGTGAACGAACGTACATGAGATCTAAAGCTGGTAGCAGGTTCCCAAGCTTCATCTCGCACTACACCTTGATTTCTGGGATACATCAGCAGCGGGTCTTTCCCTGTTTTTTTGCACAATCTTTCTTGAAGTGTGATCAAGCGAGATCTCCAGTATTCGTAGCTTGCTTGTTTAAGTGCATTTACCCACTGCTCCACCTGAGACTCTGATCGACCACTCAGTATATGGCGCTTCTCTGGCTCATCACGAAACGAGATGCTGAACGCAAATGCTCCCTCTGACGAATTATCTATATTAATGCTGTAATTTTCTAGAACGATGACCCCATCAGGTTGCCTCTTATCAATGTGTCCCAAATCATTGATATTGAAATAAAATAGTAGATTGTATCGCAGCTTGAACCATTTCTCTTTGAATACTGAAAGCAAATATAAAAATAAATATCAGATACATGTTAATCATTTACTCTAATTATCTAGAATTGTGAATACATGTTTAGTTCTTTCTTTTGGCGGATATTAATTTCTTGCAAAACTTTGAGATGTACTATTAAGAATTAAAGTGAGAAAACAATTTTATAATCTAACTAGTTCATTAGAAATAATACAGTAAATATAAATATTGTATGAATTAGACTACTCTAATGTATTAGTATATTGATATATAAATTTCTTTGTTTTGATCCAGGAAGATTCACTCAAATACTTCAGAAACAATACAATTATCTTACTTGTCAAAGTTCTTTCACAAGTTTTATTTACAATCGTTTCATTCCTTCTGAATTATTTATATCACAATTGCCTCGAAAATGGCAATTGATTAAAGAAAATCCTCTTTAAATCTAAATCATGTAAATCAAAAAGAGATAATAAAGCAATAGCATAACCTACATTATTGATTCATGTATGTATAATAAATGTACAATGTTTAATCTTGCAGAATAATTATAAATCGAATTTCTTTACACAAACGCGAAGTCTCTCAAGTGACAGCCAGTGACAGGCATGACAGAAGACAGGTTAAGATCACCGTGTTACGTAAAACTCACTCAATATTCGCGTCTCGCACTAAACTAACCTGACTTATGAGCCCGTTTGTGGTTCAGACGTCCCTCCAGGTCGGCGGGTCCAAAGCTCGCTTCCGCGAGCTCCTTGTCATTGAATCTCATGTCCGACCAGGACTCGACGACACTGTCGTGTTGTACATACGTGTCAGGAACGGTCACAGGGGTTGTCGTTGCGCCGCCCTGACGAAATATTCCATCTTCAATTCGTCGATCACGTTAATCGCGGCATGTCGGAGCGCGAGGCTGGTCTCCCACGTTAATCAATCGACATGGGCCGATGGGCGCGCTTTCTCGCGCCCTTCCCCCTCGTTCCTCGTCTTCTCGCTTTCGCTTCTGCGTCGATTGATAATCGCGAGGAAAAAATGGTCCACAATGATAAGCGCCTATCGCGATCTCACGTATACGACGAAACGAGTCAGCGCATTGCTCGGCGTCATAAGTTTTGAAATAATTGGCCGTTCGCCAAAGTTTTCACGTGATTTTCTAGCTATTTTCCGATCGGCAATGTAATATAGCGTCTCCAGTTTATATAGCTATATATAGTTTTAATCTTACTCAGGCACTGCCGCACTCATTATACGAACGCAAAAGGACGTAGCTCCGCGTTCATTCATTTTTATATGTCGCAACACAAAGCGATGATTGAAACGAACCGTCTTTATAATGTTATGTCTATTCAGTGAATAATTAAACACGCAAAAATTATACACGATTAGTTTAAATCCTTGCTTTCGGTTGTTAGTTATTGTGATAAGGCTATATAGGAGACTTTATAAAACGCAGTTAATTTTATCGACTATTTAATTCGTAACGTTTTTGTAATAGTGTATTAAAATTCCTGCTGTTTTTACCAGAACTTGGAATAAATTAATTATTATTTAAGAACAGAGTTATAAACCCTTCCTTTTCTGACACACGAGAAGAAAGATTAGAAGGGCGATGATTTCCTAATAAATCAGCAGATTGATTCTGTATCTTAAAGCGAAGTGAAAATTACAAAAGTGTGAGAGAATTTATAGTTATAATTTTTTAATTTATCTAACATTTATTTTATTTAGCTAACATTAGTCAATAATACTTATACTAAATTTCATTATTTTTGTAACTTTTAAGGTATCAAACACCTCTTGTTTCAAAAGGTACTAAAATTGACTTCCAAAAATTAATCATTGATTAATTTAATCTAAGTGTAGTTTTAAATTTTAATTTAGATTAACACGTGTCGTGCTAATAATTTAAATTTTAAATGACTTGACCACACACAGTGGGTAGATCAGTTTGTGTTAGGTCGGAATCAGACTACGTGTGTATTGAAGATTGAGATTGAAAATTCAAATTTGACCAATGAGAATAAAGGAATTTTAGCTCCTATTATTTTGAGTGGCCAAATTTCAATCTTTTAATCTTCAATGCGTAATTTGATTCCGGCCTTACGTTTGTTATAAATGGCATGTACATACATACACAACTCTAGCAAAAGATATTATAGACATATATTTATATTTTTTCATTTTTCTGGAACTCTTATCTACGTTGTCTCTGTTGATTAACCTACTGATGTTATATCTATATATACATATATATATATATAAAATCTATATGTGTGTGTATGTATATCATGTACACTTACACCACAAAAGTTTAAGTCTGATTTATCCCGGCCTTTTTTTTTATATTGTCTTTTTATCCCGTTTATCGTTATTGCCCGAGATAAATGTTAACGAACTGAGAGAAACAAGAAATCCATAGCAAGAAATATAAAATTGTCGATAAAATGATGACACAGAGAAAAAAATTAAGGAAGAGATAAAAAGCAAAAAACAAAAAACACGTTATAATTCAGACTTAAAATTCTTGAAATAAAGAATAATTTATTACAACAAGATTTATGATATTTGTTTATAAAAAGCTTTTAAAAGAATTATAAAAATTATTAATATATATAAGAAAGTTTAATGTATATTAATATTGGATCTATATCAAAAATTATTTTATAATTACATTTCTCTTATAGTCAAAATATCAAACAGTCTGAGCGAAATTAAGTTCACCGGATTTAGCGTGACTCACCGGTGACATCACGCGACACGGAATGTACACGTAATTTTGTAATGTTTATTTCTATTAATGTAAATTAATATCGGTTTATATAATTCATTGTTTATCTTTTTTAATTCTTAAAACTATAAAAGGTAAAAAGTAGAGTTAAATAAAAAATTACAATCTTCTCTTACTGGATTATTTTAATAGAACCATGTTACAAAAAATTAATTTAATTTTGATTTAATTCAAGGACAATTTAAGAAGTAAAATTAATTTAGTATATCACAATGAGGGATTAATTTACATTATGACATAAAAATAAGCTAATGTGGCTAATTTTAATCGTAATCGGGATTATGGTAAAATCGATATTACATTAAATTTTTTTCTCATTATATTGCAGACGTCTGATAAAGATTATAATGAATGTAACTGAATTGTATAAATGCTAAATATTGGGATATATTTGCAGAAACAGATGTAAAACAGTACAGAGGAAACGTGCACCTGCAAAAATGCCGCTACATTCGGTGTATTAAAGCAGAGTTGCCATAGTCAGGGAAAAGTCAGGGAATTTAAACATGCCATAGTCAGGGAAGTCAGGGATTTTGCACTAGGGATTTTCTGGAAAAATAGTTTTTTTATTATTTTTTTTTTTAAACATCTGTTTAGCTCGGTGTCTGTTTTATTTATATCACGGCGCCACGATCGATAAAATCATTCCGCTTCATTCCTCAAGCCAGCTCGGCCGATAATTCTTTCGCTTTATGATTTACCGTGATCTTGCGGCGAGAGTGCACCATTGCTTGTGCGTGTGTTTTGTTTTGAGACTCGCAATTTATTTGGACGTGTTACTTGCTGTTAGACCTTATTTCGTATGTTCGGAAAGTTTTTCTCATTTTTGTATTGTTATTCGCGTTGTAAAGATAGTTCTCGTATATAGTGCTTGGCCATTGAGCTCTAAGCATGTTTCTCCTGTTTTGAAGAAAGGAAATCCATATCAAAAGTAAACTGATAATCGTTTGATGATAAGTTATGTTATGTGTTGCTGATTTGCTTGCCCTAAGATTTTTTAAATTAAATGAAAACATCATTAGCCTGTTCGCATTAATAGCAGAATTTAAGAATCGATTAATTCTTGTCGTTTGATTTTCTTCTCGGTGTGATATTTCTTTGCTTTCTATTTTCATAGATATTTTTATACCTATGAGTTGTAATAATGAGTAAATTAAGGAGAACTATTTTTCGTGACGAGTGGATACTGAAACCCGAATTTTATGGGATCCAAAAAGGCAAAGTGGAGACAGAGGCTTACTGTATTTTATGTGAAAAGATTATAAAACTGAGTAATATGGGAATAATGTCTCTAAAAAGTCACGTAAAGCCGGGAACCAAGCATAACAAGAAAATGTTGGATGCAAAAAAATCTGCAGACATGCATTTCTTTACAACAGCGAAGGTAGGTCTGAAACAATTATCATTTTTGTGTTTAAATTTTTTGAAATTATATTGTGTACGTCATTCCGTTGATGTTTAAAGCCCATTCTACAATTACGTAAGTGTAGTTGTAAAATGGTTGTAGTTGTACAAATTAATCAATCACAGTTACGAAGAAAATGTTGGACTGTGAATAGTAAATTCTTACATACTACGTTTACGCGATTGTAGAATGGGCTTGAAGTGTTGAGTTAGTCCAAATCTACAATAGTGTTTTAAGTTTTAGCCGTAAGAAATAGACGAATCATAGTCGATTATTTTCCTCGAATTCGGCTGTAATTGGTTAATTTCTTACAGCTTAAGGGTTGATTTATACTGGCCGTAATCTGTTAACTTATGCCGTAATCTGTAAAAATTGACCAATCACAGTCGAATGAGAGGGGAATAATCGATTATAATTGGTCAATTTTTACAGATTACGGCATAACAGATTACGGCCAGTATAATCCAACCCTTAGGCTTAAAATACGTATTGTAGATCCGGGGTTAGGCTTTAAGTGTTGTTAGATGTGCCTCTTTTTAGCGCTCACTTAAACGATCGTTGTACTGAATGCACTCATGGATACATTTTTGGATTTTTTCAGCGCCGCAGTGCGCTTGCGTTAAAAGGGCGCACATCTAACAACATATTTGGTCACGTTCAGCAGACTCAACTTTGCGGAGTAGATCTGTGAATGCTCGCTACTATTGGCTGATTTAAAAGAATATACCAATAACAGGGAGCGCTCACGGATCCGCTCTGCAACGGTTGAATCTGCTGAACCATTACCCCGGATTTACAATACATGTTTTAAGCCCTAAGCTGTAAGAAATTAACCAATTAATTACAGTTTCGAATTCGAAGAAAATAATCGACTTTGATTCGTCCATTCCTTATGGCTTAAGGCTTAAAACTCTATTGTAGATCCGGGCTAAAAGGACTGGCAAAAGTAACGAGAATACTCATTATTTACACCTCATTTGCGATGTAGATACATATCTGCACTCCCCATTATATATATATATTTTATATACATATAGATAATATTATCTTGTAGGAGAAATATTTTGACATATGAAATTTTGACATACATATATATGTTTTATAAAGTCTTCGAAAGAACCAAATTTGCATTTTCGCTTTTAAAAATATAGTAATAAATAAATGATCTATTTCTTACTCTCATGATGCGAATATAACTGTGAAATATTTTGTTTTATAGAAACAATATTTTGCTACCTTATTTTGAAACCTTTTCTCTCTCTCTCTCAGCTTCTTTTTTATAACAAAGAAAAACTACGAAGGCACGTACAGAGCCATATTTTGCAATTTGATTCTTGAAATATTATAATAAATAAAATTATCTGTAGTTCAACTGTACTATAGTATAAATCAAGTGAGATTGTGTTTGTTACATTAATTGTTATTTTTTAATAACAAATGTTAATGACGAAATATTATTTTTTATCTTTTCAAGATTCTTGTTCTTCCACAAGAGATACGATTGGTCGATTTTTCTGTCTGCTAGAGTATCTTTTCGACACTCAAGTTTCAGCTCTTTTCTATTGACTTGTTTGCTTCCTAGATCTCTCGACTGTTATTGATCGATTTGTATTCTGTTTACGTTTCTTTAAACGTCTTCGGTCGCTTTCGCGCGCAAAAATAGCGATTTAAAGATTTTGTTGGCAATATGTACAATAGGCACGAATATTTGTCGTGTATTAAAATCGTGAGTGATCTCACATATCTTGGCTTTGTAAAATAAAGCGGCAAATAATGTATTTTTTGACTGTGTGAGAGCAATGCCTATAATTGTTTTCGCTTCTCAGAACGGCGCAAAACAAGCTGTGACGAAGAATACGCACGAGAAGGAATCGATGGATCTAACAGCAGAGTATCGTCATTTAATCTTAACGGCTAATAAGGTTTTTGGAGAAAGCAAATGGAGCCATAGTGTTGTGAACCAAATATTAGGTATATTTATTACTATTACTAGTACTATACTTATTATCTACAGTTGAAGAAAGCCCATAAATGTGTATAGTTCTGTCAGATTTATAAAAGTGAGCTCGAATTTATTGTAGATTTTACGGAAGTAACTGGTGCCAAATGTTATACTGGCTGTGTCAGTTTCGTTAAGGTCCAGCTTGAAAATGGAAATTTTCATGAAGATATTGGTTATTACAGCGCAGAGGAATCTACAAAAGGATTGTCTGTACAAAATGCCAGAATTGTATGTGTCAGTCAATTGGAGAACAAAGAAGCAGAATATTTTATATTTGGTTAAATAATTTCTGTATGTACAGGGTTCTGCTGTAAATGCTTTAAGAAGAGTTTTATTGTCATTTGGAGATAAAATTGAAAAAGAATTGCAACAGTTAGAAAAACAAATTGATTCTGGACAAACTGAAAACATACAAAAAAGTACGATACAAGTGAAAAATGAGCAGATTCCAGACAAATCAAATGTTTCAATTACATTACCAGTTTCTCATGTGCCACAAATAGAACATACAAGTGAATCCGAACCAAATAAAAATATAGATCAATTAATAAAAGGTTTGTAGGAAATAAGTATATAAAGAAAAGATATTATATAGTTCTGAGAATGATATACAAATCTTTTACTGCAGAAAGTTTCTTTTGTTATAGAAAGAATTTCTTTAAAAGATTTTATATACTGTTCTATTTTTTCATTCTTATTAAAATTTTCCATTCTGTAGAAAATAACTACTTTCTTATGATTTTATGGAATGTTATGTGATACATATTTTGACTACAATATATAGAAATATATATATATATATATACAATATATAGAAAAAAGTTAAGAATTAAAAACTTTGAAATCAAAAAGTTTTGAAGAATGAGTTGTATTACATTATTATAATTTGTGTTGTATCATTCTCAGCTTATCCATTGAAATCACAGTGCAATATATATGTAATATTGAACTGTTCCATATATAGCTCCTTCTCCAGGACCTTCTACAAACAATACAACTGAGACTAATCATTCGTCATCTACAAAAGTTCATTTTGTCGAATCGAAAAAAAAGAATTCAATAGAAGAGAAGCTAAGACAAGGTAACATTGAAAATTTATTACATATTGAATCATTCCTATTCAAATATATTTAATTTTTAAACATTTTTTTAGAGAGAAAGAGGAAACAAATGGAAAAGCAAATGGAATTTAAAAGGCGTATGATGGAAAAAGAAGTATCATTGTTCACCAATGACAACAAACCTAATCCTAAATATTAAGATTACATATAAATCTGTGTATTCAACATACTATATTTAGAAATATTTATGTTTAGTATATATAAAAATATTTAGTATATTTAGCATTTTTAATATATATATATAGAAATATTAATTCTCGTGCAGCGGTTAAGTGATATTCTTTATAATTGTGCCTATTTTTTTGTCTATTTTTTAAATAATATACAAACTAAATTGTGTTTTAAATAAATTTTGTAACCTGTAAATAAAAACCTAAAATGAAATATTCCTGAAATATTAATTAGAATCGCTAGTAGCAGTAGTATAATGTAGTAGTACAACGTGCGCATGTGGATTATACGTGTATCATTTGAAAGAGAGGTTAGAAGTTTTACGTTGAGCACGTACAAACATTTCAGAAACTTGGAGTTATATACTGAGACATATTACTATTCTAAATATATTTTTGATTGATATATTTTTCAATAGAGATTTTATCTAATAAATAAGAACCAACTAAATAGAAAAAAACAATTACAATTAACAAGAACTGTGGATTGCTTTACATAATTTTTGTTTACACTTTGTGTCAATAAATAATGGATCAATACTTTCAAAGTTACGAAGAACTTGACGTAAGTGAAATAAATACATATTTTGTGTATATATATATATATATATATATATATATATATATATTACATTGGAATTTTATTTTTAGATCCATCAATTAATGCTAAGTGACAAGACACGTGTTTCAGCATATAAAACTGCTATTTTTAATTCCAAAGAGAAATTTTGGGACAAAATCGTAATGGATATTGGTGCTGGCTCAGGTTTAATGATTATTAAAAAAATTTTTGTATTTATGGACTATATGTATAATATTACATAATTTTTGCTCATGCGTATACATTATTTTTCACAGGTATATTATCAATTTTTTGTGCACAAGTTGGTGCAAAGAAAGTTTATGCAGTGGAAGCAAGTATACTGGCAGACAGTATCGAGCAAGTGTCGATTGAAAATAATATGCAGGACAAAGTTAAAGTAATTCATAGTAAAGTAGAAGACATCCGTTCAGACAGTTTGGAGAAAGTAGATATAATTGTGTCAGAATGGATGGGTTTTTATTTGGTACACGAAGGAATGTTAAATTCTGTACTATTCGCTAGAGATAACTTCTTACATGAAGATGGTTTATTATTCCCATCAATTGCAAAATTATATGCCTCGCCATGTCAGTTACCTTCCATGTACGATTTTTGGAATAACGTATGTGGAGTTAGTATGAGGTAATTGTATTACTTTCAAATAAAAATAGAATACTGCCATTTGGGAAACAGTTCATTAAATTGTTTCTTTTTTCAATGTCACTTTATTTATTCTGCAGTACTCTCTAAAACTTTTAAAGTGAATCTCACTCTTAAAGATTGAAAATTGAGCTACTCTTCTTCAAGACTGGTTCAACTTTCACTGTTTAGAATTAGATTTTATTCCAAAGAATTTAGAGAATATGTTTAATTTCTATTTAGATGTATTGGAAAGAAATACAGAAAAACCAAATCTTTAAAGCCAGAAATCCTGCTTGTAAATCAAGACGATATTTTAGCGAAAGGTAAATTACTCGCATGGCTGGATTTGAAGTGCATCTCCTTGGAAGAGATAGATTTACTAGGTGGACAAGAATATGTATCGGTATGCGAAAAGGATGGGAAGTTCCAAGGAATGTGCATTTGGTTTGCAGTCGAATTTCCAGACGGTTCGGAACTTTCTACGGGGCCTTACGACAAAGCGACACATTGGGAGCAAACTATAGTAGTTTTGCCCAAAGACATAGAAGTAACAAGGGACGAGCCTGTTGCTTTCAAATTCGAATTGAAAAGAGACGTGTCATATCCAAGGCGTTACAACATGGAATTAAGTTTGTTGGATGCAGAGGAAGTGGAGCATGACGTTCCCTGTGGTTGTTACTTGACGAAATGTATAGTGACAAAAAAGTATATTAATGATTTGGATGAAAATGAATCACCCGCGGAATGCTGATAAATTTATGTATATATGAAATATTATATTTTTCACTAAGATATGATCTAAATGGAAAATTTATTTCTACTTTTAATTTTTTAGAATTTATATATAATTTTGTCACACACACACACTTTTTAGAAAATTTCTCAGACTTTTTTTATATTAGAACTTTTTTCAAAAGTACAAGGAAAGTCTAGTGCCCGTTTCTACTAATGCAGTTTAAAACTTTAATCTTGATTTAATTTATTCTTTTTATCTTCTTCTAATTCTAAGAATTATGAAATTAAAATAAAAAATCAAACTGAGATTAAAGTTAATCTATAATGGTAGAAATGGATATAAATCTTTTTAGAATCTATTTTATGTATGTGAATCTTGAGACATTCTAGATTTTCAAGATTTTCCGTTTTATAATTTCTGAGAAAAAAATTTTAAATTTAAAATACTTTTTCAGAAATTTCCCTTCATAAATTAAAAATATGAGATAATATGACAATCTTTTTCATCAAAATTTTAACAGAAGTTAAAAAATTAGAGTGATTTCAATCAAGCTTTGATTGTCATAATCGGCGCTTGATTTATTTAATAAGTATAACAGCTAAATATTTTATTAATAGCAGCAATTAATTCAAGTTGATCCAATTGAATTAGATCAAAAGTCTAATTAATATTTTAACGCTGAAGTAACATTTTGTTTTTCTTATTAACAGACGAGTTAATTAGAGTAGTTGCGTGATTTTCTCTTCGCGTGTAAATCGCGTTATAGAAATCGAGGGGGATGCTTTAAAATACAATATCCATTTTTTCTTTCTCTTCACGCCTGAATGGTCCGCATACGACGCGCATGCGTCATTTCGCCAGGCGGAACAATCTGGACAACTACTGGGCTTGATTCGTCTCGTCACCGGGGTGGGACGAATCGTCGCTCGCGGGTGCATCTATCGACGGGAACCGCGGCGACGAAGCGATCGTCTTCACGCCAGTCGAGCGTGCTGCACACCGGTCGTTCCGAGGGTAACAACTGACAAGATGAAGATGGCGGACGGACCCACGATCCTGCGGAGAAACAGACCCGGAACGAAAGCAGAGGTTATTAACGCTGTTATAATTTCGTTAAGAAACCGTCGTACTGTCGGGCGACACCCCGATCGTCAGGGTCCGCTCGATGGTGCTTCCGGATATTTCCCGGCACTTCCTCCTCCATTTGACACTTCCCCGTTGAAGATCAATGAGTTCGGAGTAAACGGACTTACTGTTTACACTAGAAGAATGTAGTCCCCAAATTCCTAACACCATTCGGATTCTCAACATTTTTCTGATCCCTTTATCCTCACTGAAGCGTGACAAATCGACAAATGATTTCTTTCTCGTCTATTCTCATCATCGTATATTCTTATCTAAACTACTGCGTGTTTTATGTACGCGTTTATCTCTCGGTTGTTTTTATCGATTGTTCAATATTATAGTAAAACACGTAGAAAGTACTACGTTTATACGCAATATTGGATTTATTTTTACATCGCGAGCTATATAGCGAAGATGAAATCGATTGTTTATAAGGATGCTCTGACGTAAATTTAATTATTTTTATAGGAGCTTACAATCAAGGTTTTATTTCGCTCTATAGGATTTTAGTAGGTGGCCGGATGAACCGTTCGAAGAGATGGATAGCACGCTGGCCGTGCAACAGTACATTCAACAAATGATTAGAAGAGATCCGTCTAATATCGATTTGATACTTAATATGCCAGAGGCCAATGATGAGGGCGTCTGGAAATACGAACATCTCAGGCAGTTCTGCATGGAGCTCAACGGTTTGGCAGTTAGATTACAAGAAGAGTGTCATCCTGAGACTTGTACACAGATGACAGCCACGGAACAGTGGATATTTTTATGCGCCGCACATAAAACTCCCAAGGAGTGTCCTGCAATTGATTACACGCGACACACACTGGATGGAGCAGCTTGTCTACTTAACAGCAACAAATATTTTCCCAGCAGGTATCTCTTTTGTGTCTCTCATTTGTAACTCTCGTCACATTTTTATCGTATAAATAAACTTTCTGTTTAAAATTACATTTCAGAATCAGCATCAAAGAATCTTCAGTAGCAAAACTTGGCTCTGTCTGCCGTAGGGTTTACAGAATATTTTCTCACGCATACTTCCATCATAGAACAATATTCGATGAATTTGAAAATGAAACTTTCCTTTGCCGCAGGTAAAGAATGTGATCTGCATATATATGAATATTTTTTTGATATGTATTACAAAAGGAATATCATTTTCTATTGTTATAGGTTTACGGCATTCGTGACGAAATATAATCTGATGTCAAAGGACAATTTAATAGTACCTATTATGGAAGGTGAAAGCGCAACAGAAAGTGAAGCATAGGATTTAACGTTGCGATCGTTTTGCCCAAAGTCGAATTACCAGATTTAGTAAGAACAGAAAAAATGCTAATATTCACGTATTAGTCTGATATTTCAATATAATGAAGATCTTTGAAAGAGATCAATAAGTTCAACTCTTATTTAAATAATATGAATTTGTTATAAAATCTATCTTTAATATATACAAAATATCAAAAAGTAAAAAATATGTATGTAAATTGTATTTAGAATTTCGTGTCACATTAGAATTCACTATGTTACTTTTTATGACTCATGTTCTAATATTGAGCAAGTTAATATCAAAAAATTAATCTCTGAATTTAAATGTATGAAAAACACTTGCTTTATTAGAATTTTCGAAATGTATTTTCTTGACAACTGTGACAAATTTCAAAGATCTTGAAAAAGACATATTCTCATCTTTGCTCAGTACCTTATTGAACAGAAATTTTCCTTGAATGTTTTATTAACAGCTGTGCAGTGATTGCTGTAAACAATATTTTCCGATAAGCACAATGTCTCATATTTATTCAATTCTTTTAATTTAAGATCTGTGTGCAACACTCTTTCAAACAAAAAGAATACATTAAACTATAAAATTCCTTGGAACATATTGTACATGATAATTTAATCTTTGTTATAGTTTTTATAATATATTACATATTTAAAGAAAAAAAGAGGAAGAGAAATATGATATAAACTTTTCATCTTATATTATTGAAGTTACTACAATAGATACTTTCAAAAAGTGTCTCATCTCTATATGTATTATGCTTTATCTTCTGTAAACATCTTTTTGTAAAAAAATAATAGACTGTGTCTTTCTATACGCTAAATATATATAATAGAAAAATATATAACTCATTTACATATATGTACACACATTTATATATAAATAAATAAATGTGTATATATATATATAATATATATATACTACATAAATAATGTATGTTACACAAATTCAGTTGTGTGAATAATTGTTCATAAGTTTCGTAACAAGTATAAACAAAATTCTATCAAATTACTTGTATTAAAATTTTATTAAATTTTTAGAATTTCAAATGTATCATTAATTTACTTATAAAATTTTTTATTATGAGAACTTATGAGATAGTACTAATTATATTATTACTTTTATTTTGTCTTTGATAAAATAATAGATTTAGCTTGAAAAGTAATTTGTATATTTCAAAGCGGCTTTTGAGGTAAGATCCAGTCCAGTTATACAGAAATTTCAATAACAATAAGGTGGAGATAACACCTCGAATGTTTGTTGCCGATTTGCATAACCAGAAGAATGCGAATTTATATAAACAATTGTAGAATTTTACACATTATTATACATTATTATACATCGTATTTTAATCTAGAATGATCGTAATATATGTAATCGTGATCACGTAGTTGGTCTTTATAAAATGTATTGTTTGAGCAAGAGACAGCGATAAATGTGGTATAGCACTGTTATTTATAGTACATATACATTTATTCCATATAGCAATACAAATTACAGCTTTCCTACACTGTTCTCGAAATTTTCGTAATAATTTACGGTGGATCTTGGACAGATTGCTTATTCCATATATTGGATATAAGACTAGATCGCGAAACTACAATAAAAGAGAAATGTAGAGTGGCTGGGCGCCTTATCAATTCGCTCGTCTGTGGCTTTTCGAATCTATAAGATACTATAAAATTATAGCGCGAATACGAGTATCATTTTTTAAATCAATGATATTTAATAAAAAATTTTTTTAAACCAGCGGAATAGATTAAGATGAAATCTTACGATAACCAATTAGTGATGGCATTACTTTCTGACATGCCGAATGTTCATTGTAATATGTAATTCTCAGCTTATAAAAGTAATATCTTCACGCATTTGTGAACACATGATTTTTTTATCGTACGCTGGAAAATAGAGCAATTTATGGTATACTCAACATATATCGACACATGTTGTTACATAAGAGTTGTATTGAATACTTCTCGTAACGAGATTTCATTAAGCGGCACTGGCTTTGACATTGCGAGATTGTTTCTTTTCGTATTCGACGCAATGAGGAGGATATCGTAACATTGTATATAAAACTTGTAAGTACAAAAAAACTCGAGTTATAATGTGTTGATGAATACGCGAGATGTGACGAGAGATTACGCAGGAATACATATATATATATATATATATATATATATATATATGACGTGTGACTGTTTCCATGAAAATTGTCTATGTATAATGGTAAAGAAATAAACTTTCTACATAAGATCTGTATTATTTCCTTTCTGCAACTATTCATTAGAATGAAGCGTTATCATCTAAAGTGCTGTTTAATCGGAATTTGTCATCATTAGTACTCGCAATCAGAACGAATTGTTTTCAGTACTCATTATCAGAGCGAATAATATATTTTTTGTGAGATTTACTAAATTAAGTCTTTTGAACGCGACTTTAAAAAAATCATACATGATATTGTATATTCATTATAATTTGATTTGTTTGAAGATTTAATCGTTTACTTTTGACATCTCGAAAAAGCTAACTATAATTTTGTTACATAATCATATATTTTTATATATTTGTCTATTTCTAGAAAAAAGGAAAAAAATTTAGAAATATGTGAAGAGGTAGAATATAGAACGAAATTAAAAAGCTATTCAATTATATTAGTCATGATATTTCTTTTTCTTTAAAGGTAGTTCTGAATTTTTTGTCGTCTTGTTTCTTTTATTTTTCTTATTTTTTTTCATTGTTCTGGATTGTTCGTCGATGCAAGGCACATCACTAGTACTTTTGGTTGTAGTATCCATTTTTGCATCACCAGTGCTTTCTGTTGTGTCCATTTTCCCGACACTAGTGCTTTCTATTGTAGTGTCCATTTTCGTGTCATCAGTGCTTTCTGTTGTAGTCATCGTTTTTGATTCTGCTGCACTTTCATTTCTCATTGTCAGACATTTTCCACTATCTTCAGGTGCTTGATATCTGTCGACAAATATCATTTTTAATTATAATATATATTTCTCATATACATGCAATCATATATCTATATGTCGAGTATTTTTGTTTTAATTAAATGAATTTCTCACACTCAAGTTTTATTAGGGTTAGTACTCTTAATCAATAAAAACTATAAAAAGTATTGAATGAATTTATAATAAATTATTTATTATTATTTAAATTTATTTAACAGTACCAAGAAAAATATTTCGTAAGATTACACTTTTTTCAAATTTCTTTCGTTTGTAATTTATGGACACCAGTAACAAATATAAAAATATGATTGTATAACGAAGTCGTATAATACCTTTGAGAGATGTCAAATATAAGTAATTAAATCTTCAGACTAATTAAATCATTATATGTGTAATTTTTTTAAATCATAGTAAATCTCTTACCCAAGTTCAGTTATGTCTTTAATATCCTTAGTCAGTAAAATATGGATTTCCGGTATCCGATGAGTCTTAGCAACATCCTCTTTCGACTTTTCCGAGCTGAAATCAGATGGCGATTGAATCAAGACTACACCTGTTGTTTTGGCAAACTTACCTGACGTAACATAGCTTTGTTACTTGATGAAGGCCTTCGTATTTTCTTTTAAAGATCTCTGCACAAGAAATTGTTTTTGCGATGCCATTTCCGGTTCCAGTCCAGACAATACTGTTGTAATTGGAAAATTCCTTCAGCGCATAGCCAAGAACGTTTCTGATTTTTGTACCGCCCTTCACCTTTTAATGTAGATATATATATTTTCATGAATAAATCGTATATTTCATAACTCTGAAAGATTTGAAAATACTTACATGCATCCAGAGAAATTTTTCTGGCAAATTATATATTGGCACTTTTGTATTTGTCGACTCTTCAGTTATTTTTATTGTCGATTTTCCTTGTCGTATCTTCTTCTTAAATTTCGATCTTCCCATCTAAAATTTGTACAAAATAGAGATCATTTTTTTGTATAATTTTATTTTTTACACATTGAACAATTCTTATTTGTAACTCATATTGAAATTAAATAACTAATTATTTGAAAAGAATAAATTGATTGCGAATCGCTGAATTATATTCACCAATTTAGTTTTATTTAATGTCATTAAGCTTTATATATTTTTCAAGAATTTTAATTGAACTTTTAATTATTATTAATATCAAAAGTTCTTTAATATCAAGTATTAAAAAAAACTGTGGAAATACCATCCGTTTAAGTTATTGCTAAGAAAAGCTCGATTATAGAATGGTGAAGGATTTTGCATATAAAGTTTTTTGTATTTTTTAAGATATCATGATGATGTAATAACGTGAACAGCAAAGTGCATCATTTCCATTTAAAATAGATTTTGGAATGACCCTTACGAAGGCGGGAATCTTTTTGTCAATAAGGTCAGTATAATGTTAGAGGGTGTAATTTCAGAAATAGTTGAGCTGTTCTGGAAATCGAAGCGAGCAGTGTTTAGACACCATATCTCTCTCTCGCTGCCAGTAGGTCATGGGTTCAGTCACAAGCATCGCTGTTTCGTTGGCGTGCCATTCGATGGAACCATTCATGGAACTTGGAACGACCTTGTACAGTCGTACGCAGAAATATTTCGTCGATTGTGACGTTTATCTGGGGCTGTCACATAAGGATGAAGCTATAGATCGGAAAACGTTCGAGGAAACACGTATCCATATTTCATAATTAATAATTGATTGAAAAAATGTAATTACGGTGCGTATAATTGTACATATTGTATATATCCAATGCATTCACATTACAATATAATTATTAAATTAATTTTGATAACAGCGTTTATTTAATAATGTATCTAACATAAATATTTACATTCGTAATTGCTGATTGTTTATAAGAATAATATATATCTAAATTAAATTTATGTTATAGAATAAATCAAATCTAAAATGCAGTTATACTATAATGACCATAAATATTTAAAAGATATGTTCTCCAAGCAAAATATTGCAATATCAAAATTATATATATATATATATATATATATCTATATATATATAATTACAATTATGTTTTATAAACTATAGGTTGCTTAATATGGACATAAAAACGATTTAGAACAATTTTGTCATGTCATCCTAAAATTTCATTTGATACTAAAAAATTAAAATCTAATGTAAGTTAAAATCTAGTACAGAGTATTGATAACAGAAAATTAAAGTGATCTTCTTCGGTTCAATTATTTGAGATGTCGTTATTAAGTTTTCAATATAGCTGTATCAAACCCTTTGTTAACTGAGTTGTTAATTATTAACCTACGTTTCATTACTTCAGCATTGCTCGAGTACAATTTGCGTCAATTAATATCGGTATCGAAGGTCGTCAGTCAAACATCTTATATAGCTTCAATATATATATATATATATATATTTCTCCGATCTGGAATTCCAGAGCGTACCGCGATGGAAAAAGCATCCTCTCCGACATCGAAGATGGAGAGCGAGAGAAGGAAGAAGAGATCGCCGGCTGCGGATACCGAGTAGAAAGTCCCACCAATATTTTCCAATCAACATTCGATTGCCGACGATATACGCGAAGGAGCGGCCTCGTTCCCGCGAAGGAAAGCAAACGGGGTAAAGAGGGGATGTAAGCTACGGGGGACAATGCGGGGGCGCAAGAGGGTTCGATGTGTAGGCGTATATGGTAGCGGTATGCGCGGCATAGCGTGCATAGCGTCGCGACGCCCCGACGCCATATTGCATTATTAAGCACCCCCGTCGACCGGGGGTATCCCCCTTTCGCTCCTGCATTCCAGGATTATGAACGTTTTTATCCCTAAAAGGTGTGAGCGGACGGGCCGACTATCTGCTGTCGGACTGCGATCACCAGACCGGAGTTCGTTGCACCCCCCGTACTTGTCCTCCGTACATTACGCGTGTCCTTTGTTTTGTCGAAATTATGCGACACGTGCGCATTTTTATGGAGTCGCGACGAATGCCGCCGATCTCAAGAATATTAATGATAAAATGGAGAATGCTCGCTTTTTAAAATATTATTTAATTGGTGCTACGCGACGGCTTCACGTTATATAATAGGGATATGTTCGTTCCAGAGAAGATGAAAGTCGCGAGTTAATTAATTTCGAAAATTAATGATTGCCCCTTTCTAAATTGAAATACCGCGTAATATTAAACGCGGGACAAAGAAAATTCAATTAACCAGAATTCGCGCTAATTGATGACCTAAATAGACCTATACCTTAGGGCGCATTTATTCGATGCAATTAATCGTTCTGCGATGACAAGTCATGATTGCACGAAATTAAATTTTCGAAAAATCAAAATTATATATACATATATACGTATACATATATATTTTGTGTTCAAACTACAAAATTCTCCTTCGTAAAAACAAAAATATATAACTAATACGAAAAATATATATATAACATACTTAATATCTCTTTAAAGTTTTACTAAGTTTTTTTTTTTAAATGCTTTGGTCCTCCTCCTCTTTCTAGAGACAAATAAAAACTTTGGAAAAAGAAAAAAAGAAGAACAAAAAATGAGAATAAATTTTTAAAAGTTCAATTATAGCGTTGTAAATTCTATTATCGTGTCTCGAGAGTGTGATCGTTTTCGACACCCAAATACGGCGGCATTCATATCAATTCCATTGCTATCAATATCGTGACGCATTACGGATCATTCCGTCGTAATCGACGAATATTCCATAATGCTTTTAAATTAACGTTCGAACCGCCTGATTTTCCCCGAGCTATAATTACCGCGCAAATTGATCCGGCGAATACCGCCATTGCGGCGGCTAATACCAGCAGCAAAGAACATGAGGCATCTTATCTCGATGATGATTCTTACCGCCTTCTCTGCCTTCGCGATCGAAAAATCCTGTGATATTTAAAAATCGTTGATTCTTTAGTCGAGGAGGGGAGAGAGGTCAAGGATTTCCATCTTTCGTATTTCGTTCTCAGCATCCCCTCTCGGGGGATGTTCCCTCTCGGTGAGAATCAACCGGCGTCTTCTGCGGCTGGCACCCTCTTAATGATGCCTACGCAAACTTCCTTTTTCCTTATTGTAATAAACCGCGAGAACGCCAGCATCCAATTTACTCGAGTGAACGAGGTATCTGTACGGGGTGTCTCGAATCACCGGATGTCCTTTTAACCGCGGATTCTTTGATCGATTTGGAGAGATTTCTTTCCCTCAATAAGAAGCTGTCGAAGCAATTTCTGAGTAATTAACGAGTGAAGATTATAATGGCCGCTATCAAACTATTAGATACAATGCAAACTGGACAACGAAATCATATCTTTTAGTCAAGTGGATTTTGTCTTACTGGAATTTTAATTTAAAATTTTGCTACGAACATTTAACAGATTGAGAAGAGTTGCGAGAAGAAAAATAAATAATAAGCATTTTTTATATCTTTTTTGCCAAGAAGAAAATGGCTTTAGATCGACCGAAAGATCTGTTTAAAGATCATCTGATGGTTCATTGGACATCTTAAATAGACAAATATCTATTACTGATTTTCAATTTTCTAGTAAAGATGAAAGAAATAAAGCATTCAAATAATTGTATGAATGCTTTTCGAATCTATTACGCTATGAATGAGATCTCTCTTTACTAAAAGTTTTCTCGTCTTCCTATCGATTTTTATCTTTCCATTTTTTTTTTTACTAAGATTGTCTTTTCGTTAAATTTTTTAAATTTTGTAGAGCTGTACTGGCATAATCTCGTAAAGAGAAATAAAAAAAATATATTTATATAAAATTATTCTAATTAATAGTAATTGCTCTAATTAATGTTACTTTTTCTACGTAAGATAATATTATGTATGTAATGTACAAACTCAAGAGTCAGAAAATCATTGTCGTATTGACGATTAAAAATATTGGAAAGGATTCTGATGATAGTTGAGAATTACGAAAGAATATTTAACCAAAATATGATAAACAAATATACAATATATTTAAACTATTTCGCGAGAAGCACGAATTTTAATATTCTTTTAATCTGAAGCAGAGGTCGTCGAATGAACTTATTTTTATATTATTTTTATTTTCTATATAGTTACAACTAAAAATTAATAAAACAAAGCTCTCGATGTCAAAATAATAAATATAACAACATGAATTATTGTACAAAGTAGCATGCAAAACGTTGTAACTGTAAATATAACAACATGAAGAACAAATCCGAGAGTCGTCGCAAGGATACAAATAAGAAATTAATATATAAAAAAATTGAATTTATAATTCAAGCTGTTTAAATTACGTACATGACATGTTTCGGCTCCTGGATTGAGCCATCTTCAGATGCAATTAAAACCCTTGACGTAAGTCCTCCTGTAATACTTGCGACGACTCTCGGATTTGCCCTTCATGTTGTTATATTTACAGTTACAACGTTTTGTATGTTATTTTGCACAATAATTATGAAACAAAAAATATATATAAATACTACATATTAAATAAATTAATTCTAAACAAGTCTTTTTATATAGAGCCAAAATTTAAATTAGAGAGTAATATGTTTTACATAATCAATCTTATAACAAATTGCATTAACATACATCAGAAAAATAAAATTTGTGACCAGGATAAGAAATTAAAAAATAACTGTCATTTCTGGACATTGGGCTTTTTTTTGACATAAAATGATCGTTGCAAAACATTTCATGGGACATTAAAGAAAGTAATACTTTTCTTTGCGCGCACGTGGACGTCTTTAATTTGCAAGTCAATTAGCATAACCTTCGTATAAAAATTCCTTCGGGGGGGATAATTTGACCCTTTGATCTTTGCTCGAGCTCAAGATACGCTCGCGCTGTACGTATACAAGCACGTGTACGAATTGTCCTGGGATGGGTGTGCGGGAAGTCAGTGTGGGACGCACGTCTTTTCGCGAATTGGCGAAGAAGTCCTGCCGAAGAAGGATGCGTTTGCGCAGGACTCGCCGATGGAATTTTGCGCCCTGGAAACTCCCCGACATATATCCACGGTGGATGGCAAACTGCCCCGGATTGTTCGGTTCAGTTCAGTCGTCATCCGATTCGAGATACAAGTTGGTGTATACATCTTGATTCTATCACGCCGTATCATCACGTCAGCAGCAACAGGTAGGGTAATGCAAAAGGTGTCCGCACGAGGCAACCGTGAATTTTGCGAAAACTGAAATTAGTGACGCGCGAAGTGACAATCGCAAAATTGCAATTCGCCTTAAATAGACGTTGTGCAAGGATACCAATTAAATTCTTTTCAATTTAAGATTATTATTACCGTCATGGTATGTGTGAACGTGTAAAATTCGGGGGTGTCGAGCTTTTTGCGTTATAGTTGCTTAAGTGATTAAAATAAGGTTTAGAGATAAAACCAAATTCGGCATTTTAAATATTTAATTCGTTTTTGCAATAAAAAATATTGATTCTATTTTATAGAAGAATAAAAATCGTATAAAAGTATTGGATACATGGTGTAAATAAAAAGTGCCGCAAAAGTCGTGGTTGGTATAAATAACTGATTTTTATAAAATATTTCCTTATTTATAAGGAAATATTAATAGTAAAATACTTTTGCATCAATCAGAAAATTTATGTCCGTGAAAAATATATAAGAATATTTGAAATATAATATAGGATTATAATATATCAAAATATGTATAAAAGTAAGTTTATACAGAATAAATAAATATCGGAACACAACCGATATCACAAAACTATGTTGTTTCTTATCTGTAATATTAATATTGTTATTGTATAGTGAATTCGATTGGACGCACTCAGTGCGCGCTGATGCATACTAAAGCCATATCGTACAGAAATTAACGTAAAGATACGCGCGTTTATAAATAAATATAAAAACCGTTCAAACCAAGAAATTTTATAATTCGAAATATTTGCATTTTACTTGTAAACTGAAATTAAATCAGGATATAATGGCTTTAATGTGTACTAGTGAACATTAGTGCGTCCAATTTGCCATTAAAAACAAATCAATTACTGAAAACGATAATACGCGAAAAAACACTTTTAGTAATAAATTTAAAAATAATAAATAAGACAAATATAAGGTATAATCAAATTTAAATTTAAAGAAGCAACGATGATAAATAATTAGAACATATAAGACTTAGTAAATATATTAGAAAATGAAAAATACGATGAAAAATAAACGAGATACACTTCCGATAAAAACGAAGAAGCAAAAAAAATATCACTGTAAAGTTGTGTGTAGACAGAATTAGAACAAATAAGAGAAAGAATCCTATAAGTTGAAATCTTGGCTTAATAAAATTGTAAAATATTTATATTGTATATTTTATATGTGAATATTATATATTATATAGTATATATAATTCATATATATTATATGTATATACTATAAGCATCCGCTTCGACTGAACATAGGATTCTTTCTCTCATTTGATTTATTCTTATCAGTCTAAATAATCATAGAACATTAAAAATTAAGCGATTATTTCTCGTATTAAAAAATGCTTCAAAATAGAAAACAGTTGTATCGATCGACTATAAGTAAAACTTTTATTACTTTATTATTAGAATATTAAAAATATTATATCGATAGCCAAAAAATATACAAAGAAAATATTTAAAGAAAATATCTAGAAAAAATAAGTAATATATATTATAATATATTTATATCGTTTCGCGGCAAAAAAGAAGAGAAATTTTAATATCTTTTAATTAAAGCAAAGGTCGCTGAATTGAACTTGTCGTCATGGACATCGAAGAATTCCGCGTTCGCGGGAAGGAGATGGTGGACTACATCTGCGAATTCATGAGCAACATTCACAACAGAAGAGTCACGCCGGATATTGGTCCCGGTTATCTCAGGCCTCTGCTGCCGTCGGAACCGCCGAATGATCCGGAATCTTGGGATGAGATCATGAAGGACGTGGAATCAAAGATTATGCCGGGCGTGAGTATTCATTTCGGGCGCGAGAAGGAAGAAATCAGCAATATTAAGATTTGTGTCAGAAATATTTGATGAATTACTATACAAAGATCACAGTTTCGCGATAAAAAATTATTTACAAAACTGAGTCGAATGGTTTCTTTCTTATGGAATTTCTTTCTGCTGGATTTTATCGCATTTCGTCAAGTAATTGTAATCTTATTAAATAATTATTTCTCGTATTAAGAAGTACTTCTAAATAGCGTAAGAAAAGCTGTATCGACTGTAAGGAAAAATGGCGCTTCTATCATGATGAAGATGAACTTCCTTCCAGATCACGCATTGGCAGCATCCAAGGTTCCACGCCTACTTCCCGGCCGGAAATTCTTTTCCCTCTATTCTTGGTGATATGCTATCTGATGCGATAGGCTGCATTGGATTTTCTTGGGTGAGTGAGAAATTTTCTCAAGCAATCTAAGAAGCTCTGTAAGTAAATACTATGCAAAACTATAATTAGACAAGTCGCAGTTTAACGAAGTGATAAAACGGAGCTTTAGAACCATCTCGATTTTCTCACACATCGGAAAGGGCCACAATTTTGATTCCGCGTCAAATTAAAGTGATGGATCATGTGCAATTATTTACTCGACGTGCAATTACGTATTTACGTTTCCGAAACGGAATCTTATTTGTTTTAGGCGGCCAGCCCGGCCTGCACAGAACTGGAAACGATAGTCTGCGATTGGTTCGGTAATTCTTTTTCGCTTTTATATTTTGTCAGATCGATAGTGCGACTTTGCGAACGATTGATTTATGGAGTAATTCATCATCTTTCTGAATTACAGGCAAGGCGATTGGACTGCCTACGGATTTCTTATACTTTAGCGAAGGCAGTAAAGGCGGAGGCGTTATACAGGTGTGAAAGATTTTATATGAATATCCAAAATAATATAAAGCATCCTAAACCAAAATCTCCGAATCCACATTCATCTCCAATTTCAATTTTTGGAATTTCCAATAAGTTGACAGAATTCTAATTTCTTTCTCAAAAAGGAGAGGTCATCTGGAATCTCCGATATTCGAAAAAAGTCAACACTCGTAATTTTTTTTAAATATATCAAGAATAAATTTTTCTCGTTATACGTATATTATGTATGAAAGAATTACAATAAGATCATTGGAAAGTGAATATTGAATATATGAATATTTCATATTTTTTATCAAAACCTATCAGGGTAAATAATGAAGTATCTCACAAAGTATTCACTTTTCGATTATCTCATTTAAACACTTCTACATATAAAATGATGTAGATAAGAATCGATGTATGTAAAAAGAGAACAATGGTTTACTTTACTTTAAAGAAAAAATAAGCCGCTCCTCTGCCGTTCTGCAGGGCCCGATAGTAACATCCTATTTGTCCTATAAAGAGTCACAGGAATTTTCAAACAAGAGTTTTGCCACTATCTTTAACAGCTTCCAAAACGAACTGCTTATAACACTTTATGTGGACCACCCTGTACGTAGGGTTCAGCATCGGAATGCATTCTCGTGTGCATGCTGGCCGCTCGGGCACAAGCAATTGCGAGACTCAAGGAATCTCCTGCACATGCACACTTGGACGAGACCGCGCTGCTCGGCAAACTAATGGCATATTGCAGCCGGGAAAGTCATAGCTCCGTCGAGAAGGACGCAATGATATGCTTCGTAAAGCTGCGTATCCTTGAGCCCGACGAGAAAAGCGTACTTCGTGGGGAGACTTTGCGACAGGTGCGTCTACATATTATTGCTACAACTTACATACGAATATTTCAAAGATTCGTATTTATTGACGTAAATTAACGTTCTTAGTACTCAGGATGATTTTCCTGTTCCTTACATACGACGATTCGTGTCTCGAGAGTTAATTTTCTATTTTATTAAATATACAAAAATTGTTGAGTAATTTTTACATATAGTTTAACATTCTTTAGAAAGTATTTAGAAAGAGTTGCGTATTTTTTAAATATAAATACAATAACTATTTACTTGACGCTTCTGATTTTTTGAAGGAAAGAAATGCAAGTCACGAATAACCAAATTTTGTGTTAAAGATTAATTAAAATTAATATTACTTGTATAGACGTTTATACTTTTTTATATTGAAAACAATGAAAACTAAGCAATTAAAAAAATTATTGTATTGTTTTTAATCAAAACAATGTTGATATCGTAATGCTTAATCGCGATGAAATGATAGAATTAAAAAATAAAATAAATTCTAAAAATATTTAATAGTGCACATATCTTCATTATTATTTTTCCGCTCGATTCTTGCTACAATATTGGCTTTAACGTGACTTGATTAAATGATAGGCGATCGAGAGTGACACGGCTGAAGGCTATGTTCCCTTTTTTGTCTCAACGACCCTCGGCACAACCGCCTGCTGTTCGTTCGATAACCTTAGGGAAATAGGTCCGGTTTGTAAAAAGTATCCAGGGGTAAGTATGTGTAAGAGATTTAAATATATTAGATCAAAGATATGTGTAAGAGAGATTTAGATTTATATATGTGGAGAGAGACATCGTTTAATTTCTTTTTAAATCGAATCTTTATCGCGTGCAGATCTGGCTTCACGTGGATGCCGCTTATGCCGGAAACGCTTTCATCTGTCCAGAATTAAAATACTTGATGAATGGTGTTGAATACGCCGACTCTTTCAACACCAACACCAATAAATTTTTACTGACAAATTTCGATTGCTCCTGCCTCTGGGTTCGCGACAGATTCAAGCTTACCAGCGCACTTGTCGTGGATCCGTTGTATTTACAGCATACACATGCAGACACGGCTATAGATTATCGGTCAGTTAATTCATTTAGCAGAAATATTTAAAAATTGCACTTTTAGATAATAAGATTTTAGAAAGTCTTTTATTTTATTAATTTGAGTAATTTTTTTTGCTTTTGCATTGATTATCTACTTCCAACATTTGCCATCGTATTTAGTTATATTGTTATATAATTTTGATTATAATATTAAAATATTAGCAAAAAAAGAATTAGTTTATATAAATGAATTTAAAAATCAGTAATTAAAAATAATGAAACGTTTTTTACAGGCATTGGAGTATAGCACTGAGCAGGCGATTTCGATCATTAAAACTGTGGTTTGTATTGAGGAACTATGGGATATCCGGGCTACAAGCCTATATCCGAAATCATGTCAAACTCGCTAAAAGATTCGAGGCACTCGTCAAAAAGGATTCTAGATTCGAAGTTTGCAACGACGTTGTGGTAAGAGAGAATTTCCCCTTTATTATTCGTGTCATCATTCGTTTATCACCATTACATGGTTCATTACAGCTGGGTTTGGTGTGCTTTCGTGCTAAAGGCAGCGATAAGTTGAACCAGAAATTATTGAGCACCATTAACGACTCAGGAAAGATACACATGATCCCGGCGCGAGTGAATCAGCGTTACACAATACGTTTCGCGTTATCTGCACCTAATGCAACTGCCAGAGATGTTGGTAAATTATTTTTATAATTTTATAATTGTACAAAGAGAAACTCGTCTTTCTAAATTTATGCATTTAACTTCATCAATGCATCAAAAGCTTTTTTGAAAACTTCACATTGAAAGTTTTATGAAAATTATATTTCAGCTCATTAATTCTATTTATTAGTGTATCATGTGTCAAAATATTAGAGACAAATATAATATAAATATATTATTTTTATCTAATATTTTCACAAATTCTATAATATGGATTTTCTTCTATTTCTATATTGTACAAAAGAAATATATATGTATCGTCTTGAATTGATTCTGTAACATTTAAGACACGGCGTGGAGCATTATAACGGACTATCTAAGCGAATTATTGGAATTCAATGTAAGTTGGAGCATAATTATTCTAAAATGTTAAAAGAATATGTTTGTATACAATCGAATATTTACACATCAGGATGTAATGGATGAACTAGCGGACATTCGCGAGAAGAAGAGGAAGGCCACTTTGGAGCAAAGGAGATCTTTCTTCGTGCGTATGGTGTCTGATCCTGCGATTCAGCCAGGATTCACGAAAACTCCAAACAGGACTGGAGCTAAACTCGACACGCAAGCAACGATTGGTGGTATTGGATCGAATACTCATTCCGGAACGTAAGATTTTTAATTATTATAAAACTGATTTTACGATTAATATCAATTAATATAATTAATACAATTAATTTATTAACATTAAACTCTACTGTGTATAATTAGTATAAATATATACACTTTTTTTTTATTCAGGAAATCTTGGATATCCTGGCCACTTGCTTATCTCATGCAAGCGAAAGAAGCTGCTGATACAAGTGAATTATCGCTCAGGTACTCTATTTATTCCGATTTGAACATATTATTATAACTTACATTCTTGCTAAAAATGAATAGACTAAATGTTAAAAAACTATTCACAATTTCAAAAAGTGAATTTAATCATGTTTTAATCTTTAAATTATTTTTTGCATAAAGTTTATTTTAAGAATTCCGAATCAATTTTTTTTTTTTTAAAGAAAACCTTAAAAAGTATTTAAAAGAAATAAGTAAATTTTCGTTATATAGTTTGATTGGTCGGACACAGATGTTGACATTTATATTTCTTGCCGTATTTAGAATTATGTATAGAAAATTTTGTTACAACACGTGTTGAGAATATTGCTATCGTACTGACGACAACCGAATGCAATGTAACGCTACACTTGTGTACCGTGGTTCCGATATCTCGTGCTGCTATTATTTACAGGGACAAATAGTGTCTTTCCTCTTATCGTTACCATTATATCGACCGCTAGTATAATGACATCTGACTCCATTGAATGTACGAGTTCATTTCAGAATCATCCATACCAAAGAGTACTGGGATACGAAACATGTTATCTGCTACCTTTGCGTCCGGCCAACTTTTCTCCTCCGTCAATCAGAGTGAATTTTATTTGTTTCTTGTTTTAATCTCACGAATTTGTTAGAAAAAGTATAGATAAGAGTATGACAAACATAAAAAAAACGTCTTAAAAAAACCAACGAAAGTAATTTTTAAATATTTAATGACTGCAAACCACTTTCCAATTCAAAATGTTATATTTTTATGAAGGTGTATATAAGTTTGTATCTCTCTTTTTTTGCATATGTAATTTTTTATGTATGTCGTAAAATGTTTGTCCGATTGATTTACGATTATAATGACGTAATGTAGATGCCTTTTTTTCGAATTCCAACAAAAGTCTGAAAATATGGTCTTTATCGACTTACATATCTCTTTTTCATGACTGCAATATTAGAGAAATAGGAAGACTTCTACATTATGTATAGACTGACCGAAGCAAAGTGATAAGACATACAAATATAAAATATGCACAATAAAAAGGCACTAGTTTTGCGCTAAGTAGCTACTTAAATCCGCGGCTAAAAAACAATAAACAATTTATATTAGCACTTTTGACAAGACAGTGTAAGCTTACAGTATTTAAGTTACTTGCTGCAAATTTATGTTTGATTCCTTATATTTTACTTATCTTATTCTTCTATTCTCTAAAAAGTATATGTAAAAATTCTTGAGACTTGTTCCGTTATATGTATGCGGTAAAAGTCGAAGAAGAAATATTTCTTCACATATAAAAGAAAACTTATCAATTTTGCTTCAGTCGATCTGCAATGCAAAAAAAAGACTTATTCCTAAAATAGTATGTAAAACATGTTTACGTAAGTGCAGATAATGACTCAATTTATGAAAATAAAGCTGATGATCTTTTAATATATAAAAAGATTGTACGCTGCAAGAATATAAGCTGCAATACATCTGTCAAAATCCATTAATTCCATTCTCATTTAGACATTTTTCCTTTTAATTTAGAGGATGTTGCTAATGAATATAATAAATGATTTCATTAAGAGAGTACAGTTTGCATTTTAGAAAAGTTGTTTACGACATACATAAAAAAATTAAATACGCAAAAAACTTATATATACATACACCTCCATAAAAATACAATATTTTGAATTGGAAAGTGGTTTGCAGTCATTAAATACTGCAAAATTTGATTGCAGGGTCCACATATCCAATTTGCAATTCATATAAAACACATATGTGTAAATATATGTGTACTTATACATGTATATGTACAGAATTCGCGCGCATTTTTTTATCTCTAAGCAAATTATCTTCATTTTTACATCAAAAAATTTTTTTTTTTGTGTTCAAGTGTTATCACTGCAAACATTTAATATTTTGTTCTATTTTTTCTACACATATTTTTTTTAGTTATACAAAGTTTATTTCCGGAATTTAAATGTCAAAACTTCGGAAATGTGTAAGGGATCAATAAACTAAAAAAAAAGTTTTGTAGAAATATACTCGTTTTTACTTCTCGTTTTGA